TGTTGTCTGTGTACTCCTGGATTAAACAAATAATTTTGAGTCTCCTTCCAAAAAGGTGGGAGTATTGCACAGTACAAACATTTTTATTTATGTATTTGCAGCTATGGGAGACAGGGCTGTATTGAATTGCTGTCTTAATGTGGACTGAAAATAATTTTCACTACTTTTTCCTGCAAGAATCAAAATTAAGTTATTTATAAAATGATATTGAAACAAGTTATGCCTGAGCAAGTTTATGTTTCCAGAGGCGAAATTCAATTTAACTGTTAGGTAGCTGCCATTCAGCATCTTCAAAATAAATTTATTTCTACTGGCTCAATAAGCAGATTAGGTGTAATTTTCAATTTTTTCTTGAAATTGAAAAACATGCAAGCCAAAAAAGCAATAGAACCAGCACTACTGACAACACAAAACACGTCAATGGAGTCAGACCCTGTTTATAAGTGGCTTTAGTGGGATTCAACATTCAAAATCTACTTCAAATTTGAAGATTGTTTTTTAATGACTGTAATTTCCCAGTCAGTGTCATCCCTTTTCCCATATCCACACAGGAATCACAGTGCTGCCTCTTCTCCCTCAGGTTCTTTCATGTTTAGAGGCTGAAACTAATCAGAAAAGGTAACTGACCAATCTAAGAAGGAATGACCAGGTAAGGATCAATGCTTACTGGTGTTTACTTGATGAAAACTTTAGTCCTACTGTACTTACTGATGCATAATTTCGTGCTGTCTAGAGGATGAGCTCTGTAGGAGACTACATGTATACAGTTCCGTCACTACCAGTAGCTTGGTATGAAATGGATTAACTAAAAGTCATTTGTACACAGGGTGTCTTTGGGGATTTCAAGCAACAGGCTGGATTATGGTATATGCTGCTAATTCACATAAGTCATATCTGTATCCATGTTAGCTTCACATCATTAGGCACTACACTGACTAAATGGTGCAAATGGTGCAAAAAGTTATCAGTGGCATCATTTCCACAGCAAACTTTTATAAAAGAAATGTCATTTAGAATATATATGCAAAGAGATGGAACATAAACTATTACACTGAATGGTTTGATTGAATTTGCCCAGAGTACTCTTTTTAAAATACTTCATTTCCTCTGTAAACATTTCTTTTTACATTTATGAGAACAAGGTCAACTGAAAGTAGGTAAATAGTAGAGATGGACTTGAGCACAACTAAATCTTTTCAGAGGTGGGGGAAGTTCAGTAGAAAATATGTTTCTGAAAGTGGAAAATTTTGACAAAGAACTTCACAAATTACATATGGCCTTTTTAAGATTGAACCAAAGGTTCCTATTTACCTTCCCAACTACAGAAATACAATCGCTGCAGCCAAATCAAATCCTTCTTCTTGCAAGGGTTGAAAAAGTAATTCTCAGATGGAAGAGAAATCAGCAAGCTGGTGACCTCCTACTAATGATGACTGACTGTATATTTATGCTTCAATTCTGGTGATATAAAATAAAATGTTAAGATAGAAATATTCCACAGAGTTAATCTACATGACCGGCACGACCCTAAATGTCCTGTTTGCCTTAACTAAAGTGGCCACAGTGGCACTGCAAAGCTGTGCTACAGTTGTGTTCTCACTTGTTTAATTACTCGGGATCTCCAAATATTACTCTTATTCTCTCCCAGTGAACTGCAGGATAACCAGTCAGACCTTTGGGCACCTGAAGGATGGGATGTATATAGGGAAGGGTAACCACAAGAACATGCTGGCAGACTGCCAGCACTTCCTATTAAAACAAACCAAAAAAAAAAGGTTCTTAGCCTGAAAGACAAAAGAACATTGGCTGAAGCAAGTATCCCCGACTAGTTCGCATTTGGGATGCCACAAGATGTATGTGTGAGGGAAAAGGGGAATTGTGAGCATCCAAGTGATAATTCAAGGAATCTGCAGCAAGAGACAAACACATAGACAAGTCTATACTGAATATGGCAGCATGCAGGTGCCAGGTGAGCCTGCACTTTTCCCTTCAGAAGGACATACTATTTGTAACATACATATGTTTATGCAAATGAGAAAGAATCACGTTTAGTAGTTTACATCAGTGGAATGACACATCCTATGACTTTGCTTGGAGAAAAGGTTTCAAGGTGCACAGAAATCAAGTGATTTACACCATTATTTAAAAGCATGTAAGCAAAGGTCCACCATCTTAGAGTGCTTTTCTTAAAGCTACCACTCAGCGTTTTACATTAATGTGGTATCTCATTCATTTTGAAGGACTTGAACTTAATTTTGCCTGACTTGTTGCCTGTTGAGGAAGTTCTGTGGCTTTGTTACTTTTTTTCTTGAAAACAGCCATAAGCTAGAAGTATTAATTGTTTTGACTTATAAGTAAGTGCAAAACCCATCTCATACTTTATTATCCTGTAAATGCTTTTCTCAGCCTAAAGCATAGAAGTTACAAGTGAGTTAAAGGTTTCGTGAATTCATTCAGTTGTCTACTCTACTTACACTTGGAAGTGAGAGCCAGCTTTCCAGGACTTCTACAACAGTCAAAGAAAAGCCTGTGTACAGCACTTCATAAAAGTGTAATGGGCCTTTCAGTGCTGGGAGATGTAAGCCCTTCACAGAGACTTTTACTAACAAGACAGACAGAATGCTATTACATCATCTCTGCCAAGTTTATCAGACTCCTAGGTTAAGAAAGCCTACAGAGGGAAGCAGGAAACACAACGGACCCATTTCTTGGAAGGAAATTGGGAAAATGGAGAAGAAAAAAAGAGAAAAAAAAGCAAGCAGTTTGTAGCCTCCAGAAGACAAAATGCAATGACGCAAAGCATTTTAAGAATGACCACGCTGATATACTCAGGGAAAGAATTTGATCAAAACACCCCACATTTCATTGTTTACAATTAGGCAACATTTTTGCTTTTGTTAATTCAAGAAACCTAAAATTAGAACACACAGAAAATGAGCAATAAAAATAGGACGCTTCCTAATTTTACCTTTTTAGCCACCCTCACCCCCCCACAAAGTCCCTACTGGCATCATTTAGATTTATTACAGTTGTGGGTAAAACTTGTCCATTGACAACTGACCTGATATGATTAACATTAAAGCAGTGGCTCATGAAGTTTTCCAGAATACAATCTTGATGTTTTATTTGCAAACACACTAAAGAGCCAACACATTGTCCAGACATGGATACCCTCTTGCACCTAATAAATGCAAACACAAAACACAGCTCATGCTTCTATTTCAAAACAGCTATAGTTGTAACAGTTCTCTTCTCCAGGAGGATAACAAGGTCTTTCAGACTATACCTGCTACTTATTTTTGCTTTGTTTTCAAAGATACTCTTCAGCAGACTGAATATTCTCACACTACCTCCCTCTTATCTCCAGCCCAGAACCTACTTTTCTCTAATTGTGCCAGATAGGGCTACCCATTTTTATTACAACTGTTCAAAAACACAAAGATAAGCACTGGCATTTACATTAGTAAACCCACAATACAAAGGCCTGCTTAACATCTCTATCAGTGACCTGGAGGAGGAGACAGCATACACTCTTATTCATGAGGTTTGCACATGACAACCAACGGGGGAAGGGAAGCAGCTGACACTCAAGAGCAGAGCTGCCACCAGGAGGGACCCAGGCAGTCTGGAAGAATGGGTTAACAGCAGCCTCACAAAACACAATCAGAATAAACGCCAAATGCTAAGCCCTGTCCCAGCAAGGCAGAGCCCTGCAGCCATGAAGCTACGGCTGGGAAACAGCTCTGGGGGGTTGGCCCTGGGCACTGGAGGGCAGCAAGCTGAGCCAGGGCCACCCGTGTGCCTGGGCAGCAACAAGGGCCAGCAGTGCCCAGAGTCTCATGAGCAGGTCACAGCCCTGACAGCAAGGGAAGGGCAAGGACTGTACCCCTGCTTGGTGCTTATCAGACTCCACCTGGGTACTGCCTCCAGTTTGGGTCCCCAAAACAGAAACACCACCAACAAAACAGTGGGAGGGGAGGCCACTGCGACAGTGGGGCTGGAGCCCTGCAAGAAGAGGCTGCAGGACCAGGGCTGGTTCAGCTGGGAGGAGGCACAGCTTTGGGAGCACCCAACAGCATCTCTGGCACCAATGGAACAGAGGAGACACAGTCGGGCTCTTCACAGTGGTGTGTGGCAGGAGGGCAAGAGGCAGCAGCACAAGCTGACACACGAGAGGATCAGGCTGGAGATAAGAAGCCTTTTCCCCACGAAGACAGCCCAGCAGTGGAGCGGGGGCCCAGGGAGGTTGGGCCACCTTCGGCCAGGGGCAGTTTCACACCCTGGCAAGGAGGGGTGAAGCCCTGAGCAGCCCAGTCTGACCCCATGGCTGAGCCTCTGATGGTCCCTGCCAGCATGAATGATTCTGCCATTGTGTGAAACACAGCAGAACGGTTTCCACTAATGGACAAAGCGTAAACCTAAAGGTTTGCCCCTCTCCTCCCTCCAAATGGGCAAACTTCCTTTAGCCTTTTTCATATCAGTTAATTCTACCAACATGTCAAGAAGTCTTAGTAAGTTTTTCTGGTTCAGATGGTATAACATATTAAATAAATTTCAGTAGGTTTATTTATACTTGCAGTTTCTAACTTGTTCTACCTTATAACTACTGAATTTATTCTGCTTAATATAGAACCATTTCTCTTTAAATGAGAGACATTTTATTTTCTTATTACTTCGTCCCATCACAGTAGCCCTCCTATATTTCATCCCTGGAAAGTGAACCAAGCAATGCTTCATGTATAATGTCTAAGTTCTGCTTTTGCAGAAGTAAACATGAATCACTTGGTTGTGAATATAATTGTCTATATAAGGTAGGCACATGCTCATTTGCTTACCCATTCCACTTAAGACAACAAGCACTCAGCTCTTATATGAAGTTAATCACAAAAACCCTTCACTTTGTTCCACTGTCAGGTCAATCTTTATTATACTAATCATGCACCAGCAATAAGCAGCAACATCTTTATTGTGATGGCTTTTGACATGGGTGCAGGACTCACCCCTCCTGCCTTTAGCAGCTTTCTTCTGAATTCCTCTGTCGGGTTGTTGAATGTGAGCTTTTCACAGCGGAGGTGATTTACAGGTGGGTGGCCTTCAAGGTGCAGGAATAAGTCATAGTCAAATCGAACTTTCTTAGGTTCTTCCTGAGGGTTGAAAATAACCAGATAGAAACATCTAGCACCAAAACTAACTAAGTTGAAAACAAGGGCTACATAAAGACTGTCAATTAAAATGAAAATGTCATTTTTAACCATTCGCTGTGTTCTTGGACACATGATGGAATTTACCAAGCATCAGCTGAGCTACTGTAAATCAGAGAAGCTCCTATCAGCCCATGATAACACATGGTAAAACGCAGGAACTTCATGAACTTCAAGCTGTCCTGACAAGGCTTAAATTGAAAGTGTTATGTCATGTTTGGCCCAGGCTATAGACGTAGGCATTGGCAAGTATCATGATTCAGCTAACACAAGGTAACTCAGTCACCAACACAATCACACTTCTCAGCCCTAGATAGTACTGAAGAACCTGCAGTAAGTTTTGAATGCAAATTCCTCCAAAGCCAAACACTATTGTTTTCTTCACGAGTTGTAGAAAGGGGTAAGAATGAAACTGCTGCAGTCAACTATATTTGATCTCCTGTGTATGGGGTCTGCTCATTTATCAATGAAACTCCATTGCCTTGAATGAGTGCATCCAGCTAGATCTAAAGTGTTCCACCACAGCTTCCAAGTGATTAAAATTCTCTGCCACTGCAGTGAAAAAAACGAAACTGAATGTTCCCTGTACCAATATGGAGAGAGAAAGAACAGGAAAGGCAAATTTATCTTAGAAGAAATCATCCATGCTCTACTGTCCTAAGAAAGCCTCAGCTGACACTAGTGGCATTGAATAGACTTCAGTTTGTAATACCAGAGAAAAGATACTGAGTATGTTTTGTGTTATACATTTACACAGTCCCTTCTAGAAGCTGTATATAAGTGCTCTTTTAAGGCAATATTAAATAGCCCTTCCTCCAAGGGTCCTCATGTGCAACAGAAGCCACCAAACCAATGTCAGTCTTAATGCAGAACACAAGTAAAAGGTCAAATTCAGGAAAAGCTTTAGTAAAAAGGGAACCATGATGGAAGAGGAGGAAGAAACACAGCAAAAATCCACAGCACATATCCAACACTGCGTGTAATCAAAATGTGTGCTCTGTTCAGTGACAGATGTTTAAGAAATCCACATAAAAAATGTTTATTTTTGATTCAGGATTCTAAGGATGTGAAGAACAGAAAGCATAGAAATCTCAGTTATTCTAAAACTTAAATCAGAGGTTTCAAACACAGCCAAGAGACATCCTCATCATCCCATCTCTAGACTTGGAGCAGAGACAACAGAAGGGGACCTGAAATAAAAAGCCTGCAGTAGTCTGTTTCTGAAGAGAGAAGAGAGCAGTTCCCTTAGATAAACTATTTTCTTGATGGACCATTTTCAAAGGCAACCATGGCTGAAGATATGTCTTATTGTTAGAAAGATTAACGCATGATGCAGAAAAAAATGGAAGTGATTTACTCCCTGGTCTGCTTAGAAAACTGTGATGTGGCTACAGGCAAACAGTTGGTACCAGGAGCTTTGCCATAAAAGCAAAGTTATAAGAATTTATAAATGGGAGTCTTCAAAGAATTCTATGGAAAGTTAGATGAACATAACCAGTGATTTCAAAGCAGGCTTTTGCTATACAAAGGACTCCCAGTACCACTGCCGTTATTTCAAAACGGTGTAACAGTGAAGGCAGAATATACTGCAGTTTAATCAGCCTTACCCTAAATGGACTGCATTTTCCAGAGTAGGAGTCTTTCAACCTGAAAGCATTTTTTCAATGACTTTGTCTCAATGGCTAACAATTATAGCCTCCCGCTGCTGCTAAATTCGGGAAGGGGGTTTGTTTGTCATTTCCTTAATTCTTTAAAGCTTGGAATATTTTTCGTCTGGGTGAAACACCTATTAGATTTTCTACCAATTTCTGCTTAGTCCTGGGAACAGGCACCCTTTAATCCTCCATGGTCTACGTGGCTTCCTGTACCCCTGCCTTCTCTATTCATTAGGGTACTTTTCTGAACCAGAAATTGAAAAGTTGTCTACCTTGCGTAAGTGATGATGGTCTGTCTCCTCTTCCTCCTTCTGTCTATCTCCTCTTTTTCTGTATTGGAATACTTGTGAAGTGGCTTAGGGGAGGAAGAGTAGCTGAGCTAGGAGAAAGCAGTAATATGCCTCAATTGTATTGTCCCGACCCCAGGGAAGGGCATGCTGCTGCAGTTGTGTGAAGAGCTAGCTGACTCACAGTCCAACTGCTGCTTCTCGTATTCCATGACACCAAAATAGGGGTAAGGGATGTTAGCAAACTTCCTAATTCCACATGCTGCTTGAGGGTGAGGTGAGTTGTAATCACTGCTGCCCTCTTGATCTCAGTCTAAGCCACAACTCCTGCTGGAGAACTCCTGAGACTTGCAGGTCTCCACAGTCAAAGGCAGCCAAAAGTCTGAGTGGAAGACAAAAAAAGACATGTCGGGCAGGAAGCTTTCTGTAGAGATGCTTCAATGATTGACTCGCTGTCTTCTGACTTTGTCTGCCCAGTTTCGGGATGAGCTCTTAACAGAGGAGTGAAAGAGAACGGGCTGCTTTTCATTAGATCTCCTGAATGAATCAAAACTGTTTCCCTAATGGAGACAGAGCTAAAAAGCATACCAAAAAAGCCAGTCAACTCACTGAGGCAGTTCTGTTTCCTTTTCCAACAGCAAACAGGGTAGACTAAGCCCTGCTCTTCACAGATTGATACAGGGAACATTTCAGAACTACCTGTTCGAAACCTGTAACTTAGGAAGTGCCTGAGCAGAATTATGCACACCTCACACCTTGACAGAGGTTTCTGTGAAAAACAAAAGAACACTGGAGTACCTACTTGAAGGCATACACAGCTAACAAAGCTGTACTCTAACACAAATTTTAAGTGACCAGGGTTCCAGCAAGTCTTTTGCTATGCATTTCTATTTTCTTTCGGTTTTAGTTTTTCACCAAGCATTCAACAAATTAAAGACGTAACACTGACTTGATTAAAATAACTATGTTAAACTACATCTTGGTAATATAAAATAAACACACAAGTATCTTAGAAGTGCATGCGAGGTATAATAATAGCTCCACCGAGGCACATGACATACAATAGGAACCTAAAATGTTGCAGTTAAGGTACTGTACATTAAACCATGCAAGCTTTTTGCTCTTTAATTCCACCCAAATCCAATTCTTTTTATCTGAATGAGTTATTAGTAATACAGACCCTGTTATGTACATTAAAGGAAATCTCTGCATTTGTTATCTAAGAGACCCACAGTAAGTGCAGAATTTACTTTGACTCAGAATTTGAGATACCACAATAATGCAAGCTTTGTAGAACGGCACTGGGTTTGTTTTTAAACTGTGCCCCCGGTAATGCTGGATTGAGTAGAATCAATGTTCTTGTGCAGTCTAAAAGAATGTTTTTCCAGAAGGAGGATGAAGGATAAAAAAAAAAAAAAGACTGTTTTGAAAGATCAAAACCTGAACAAATTTAAAAAATCAGCAATACTAAAATAGAACGAGTTCATCATGAAATCAACATAATCAAGATCGCTTTCCTTTCTTAAAGTTTAAGTGGCTCTTGAACTTCCTTAAGCATTATTTAAAGTCTGTCCACTTCTGAGTAGGGACAGTAATTCTTCTGAATAATTACATTCAACTTCTTTATTATTATCAGGTAATCCTAATTTCATAGAGTTATCTACTAAATACAATTACACATTTCTACAAGTTACAGTGACTTTGAATTGAGGAACAGCACCGACAAAGATAGCTTTAAACCTAATTTTTAAATGAGTTTATGAATTGAACTGCAAATCTTTAAAAAATCCTGACTTCCACATGATATTTTTTTTATTATTATTATTTTTTTAATAAAAAGTATGTGATTCCATACCTTGTTTTTGAAGTAAACCTCGATTGGTAAAATGAAACCAGCATACCCAGACTCTTCAACTTTGTAGGGTGGATCCTTGCACACTGAAACAAAGAGGAAAAAAACCTGTATTTAACACAAAAAAGTAATGTTTTAAATGCACAAGCAAAACATACGAGCAAATAATCTGTGACAATAGTTCTGTGGCAGCACCATTACAAAACTGCACACACATAGTAGACATATCTGCACACAACTCAACGTCAATCTTGCAAGCAAATCATTCCTGCCTGTATAAAACCTATGGTTTAGGGTTCTGGGAATGGAAAATATATAGGATTTCACCTTGAGAAGGTTAAACATGTAGGGGACAGAAGAACTGCCATTCATGTATTCATAACCTAATACTAATAAAATCCTAATTCTAATAAATGTAATTTAAAATAAATTAATTAATTAAATTAGAACTAATACTAATAAAATTGAAATCTGTATTACTGGGGGGAGAGGGGACATAACACAACATTCCAGTATATTGTGGAGAACCTCAGGAAGGTTAACTATTGCATTATGTTAAAACAGTATCCAGGTTTACCCTACAGGATTCAGACTTCTTTAACATGACAGTGAATATTACTCAATATACAATCTTTTCCTTCAAGTTTTCAGCTTAGTGCAAGGGCTTTTAGTTACATGAAATCCCCATAGTACTGAACATGATCTCTCTGAAGAAAGTGGCACTAGCCTGCCAACTCCAGCCAGTAACAAAAAGCACGTTGTTAGAGAACTTGGAACAGAAGCCACCTCTTCCTTCTCCTGTTTGGCTGCATGACAACCTCATTACAGAATTCATGCCCATGTAATACGTAAGTGCAAAGGTAGGCTGAGCCTGAGAAACCACGCATCTCCTGCAGCATCAACTCAAGATGCTTCCAAATGCTGCACTGATATGCATGACAACTCATGTCATATGCACTACCATCTCAATGACATCATAGAACAACGACAGTTTCTCTACTGTAGACTGGTAGAATGATGCAGTTCATACACAAAGGGTTGACTTCTTCAGAAAGATTTGTTCAAGCTCTATCTTGCCAACTGAAAGAAAATTCAGACTCCCAGATGGATCATCATTTGCTCTTTTCAGAATTGCCTGCTGGCTGTTTACTGCACTGTATCAGGTGCAACTTAAACTATACTTTACAAAAAGTGTGTCTTGCAATCAGTTGTGCAGGGCCTGAATACCAAAATTATTCTTTTTAACAAAGCACCACAGATGGGCACTTACGGCCCTCTATCTAAAAACATGACAAGGCCCATTAGACACATCCAGGAATATAACCGCTGCTACATTCTCAATAGCACAATCAGAACGTCAGCTTTCTGAAGACATGCAAGCTTTGTTAATCCCTAAGTAAATGATCACAGCAGAACTTTCTCCTACCACCTTGCCATTCTCCTCCTGCTCTGCTAGCACCAAACCCACACAGGGACTTCAAGGATGAGGAAGATTTCAAGTCCTTGCTCACTTACTGTAGCTGGCTATCACTACCCAGCTCACTTCATGCAATCAATGGAAAGGGAAAAGGCTGACAAAAATGTAGCAAGAATAATCTCTTTTCCAGACTCTTCTGTAACACTGCCCTCTTGCAGCTACAGAATTTAGTTTGTTTTTATTGGCAGCAAAAAAGAGGAGCTACAGCTTATAAAGTAGGACTTGAAAGATTTTGAAGAAAAGTGTTAAAATGATAGGTCAAATCTCAGAGGTGGTTTCAGACATGCAAAGCTTTTAAGTTGGAAACTGAGCATTTTGTGTTAGAACCTCCATTTCACCTTGTATCGACATGTCTTGCCGTAAGAAGTCTTACCAGCATTTGAAAAATGTAAATATAATAGTCTTAGTCAAGCACAGTAACAGATTACAGTAATACATATGACAACTTTTTCAGTCAAAGGTAGAGGAGCCTTCCTGCTCCTCCTCTGCCTTCAGAAGACAGCTTGAGAAAAAAGCCTTCCCAGTATTATTTGAATGGCCATCCAGGGTTCAGAAGACTGAAATCCACTTATATAAAAACAGGGAAAGACTATACAGCAAATATTTATCCAGATGGAAACATAGAAACTTTAGAAACTGTAATAATACATTAACTGTAACAGAGATTTCAAGCTCCATTACATGACAAGTCACAAATCACTTTTTTTTTTTTTAATAAATATCACATCAACTTCTTCCTGAGACCTTAATTGGTGCAGAAAACACTGTCAGCATAAATATTTTTCATTCCCTCCCTCAAATCTCTCTCCTTTCAAATTTACACAGCTGTTAGCCATGCTGAATAGTACCTTGTCAAAAGTTTCACATTACACTTCTGAAAACAAAGTCTGTTACACTTGCAGGCTTTGTTCAAACTTGGGTGATGGGTTACAAAACACTTAATCACAAGGAAGCTACTTTGGGTGCCTTCCCAAACTGAAAGATGGGCTTTTAATAGAAGGAAAATTCTACAATCTCATGAATTAAACCTTCCCCCCCCAAAAAGCAAGTGACTGAGCAAAACTCCACAATATTGCATACATGTAGACTGCAACTAAAATGAAAGCTATTACATTTTCCTCACTTTTCTTGTGGAAGCCACTACTGTATGTACTGGTAGAAACAGCATCTTTGTGCACTCTGAACCAGCACCCACTGGCATAAGCTTTTTGTTCTGTTCAACTGTTTCAAGCAGCAACGAGGGCTGCAATGACGTGTGTGGTTTAGCCGAGCCAACAGGGAACCATCCTAGCAAGGTCTGTTGAGTGGAGAAGAGAGGTGGCAAGAGTTAGGTAAACCACAGAAAAGGTAGAGAGAAAAAAAAAGTAAAAGGAGAGGTGGGAAAAAATGTAGTGGAGAAGGAAAAGAAACAAAAGCAAATTGCAAGTATAATCCAACAGAGCAAAACCAACAACAGAAATTAGGAAGGAGTGATTTTGCAGAAGGAAGCACCTGGAAACCCTAACATTCTTCTCAAAGCTCATTAAAAAAAAGCAGCTACACTAGAGCAGGTAGATAAGCTGAAAACACCACCCTTCTACAGAGAAACAATTTCCTCCCCATCCAGAGGGACAGAGGCATTTCCCCAGTGACTGCTCCTCTCCTTTGCAGTGGCACCTACCCTGCATTTCAAACACCAGATAAACGAAGCCTCTTGCACAACACTATCACGAAGACAATTATTTTGGTCAGGTTTTTTCCCTATGGAAACAGCTTGTATGATCACAATGCGCTTTCTCACTTTCTCCTGTATCTTTTGACTAGGTGGTACAACTTCAGACAGTCTCTACAACAATTAAGGCCCTACAGATTCCTACAGATCCCGTGAAAAATTAGTGCCTGCACTGAGAAGGCAGTTCCAGAGAACATGTTCACTGAGATGCGGGGCGAAGCAGCCAGCAGTATGCAGAATTACAAACCAGTTATAACAGTGTCTCTTCCCATGAGAACTGTAGGGCCAGGAGAAGAGAAGTAAAGAGAAAAGTGAAACTATGAAGATTTCTTTAGATCCACTGGCCACAGAATAAGCTGGGTTTTTTGTTGCTTGTGTAAGGCAAGATAAAGAGTTCATGATACTATACTGTTATTGTATCTTTGTCAGAATGCAGGATCATTTCTCTTTTTCCATAAATGAAAGCTTTTTATTTGCAAATGCATTTGCTAAACACAGATAGACCAGCCCCCTAAAACAACTGTAGGTGCAATTTTGAAATAAAAATAGGAGTTTATGCAACAGAATTATATAGCCAAAGTCTATCCCTTCTGTTCATCATGTTTCATTGTACTTTGGGATGAACGTTGCTGTAACAAGTAATAATGTTGGTATGTTTGAGGCCACAGAAGGGAACTTAGATCCAGGGCTCTAACTATAGCAAAAGCTGTTCAAATACTGCATAGGAGCTTGAACTTATGGGAAACTAAAAACTACACAAGCTGTTAAAGGGACAGAGGGGAGGGTGTAGAAGCTAAAGCAAAAAGGCTCAGGCCCTAGGACAAGAAGTAGTTGTCATAGGTGGAATGCCATTTTTCCATAATGCAAGGGAAGCATACACATGTATACACATGTACAACTGCACAGGTACTGACTTCGAGTACTGTACATACCTCAGGTGCTCACCTACAGTATACTGTCACTTAACTTTCCTTGATAAAGGACTATTTAGACACTCAGCTGCAATCCTAGCTGTATTACAAACACTTCACAAACAACAGGAATAGTCAGAAGTATATTGGCTATGCTGATCCATTCATTTTGACCAGCCTTCCCATACATACAAGTGCAGTAATTCACAGCTGATAAAAATTATTGAAATACTCCTCAAACAAAACATGCCTCCCGGAGACCAACTGCAAGATACCAATGTGCATCTTTTAATGAAAGCTCAGTAACAACATTATCAGTACTAATACACAATTTTATTAACAAGGATTTCTCATCCATAAGATCTCAGTATCTGTTTTGGTAAAATTGTCCATTATATTCATTCTACACATAAGAGATGCGAATGCTCAATTCTCATTCAATGCACTCTACAAATAAATTCTTTTGATAATGCCAGCATAATAAGCATCCTGGTTTCAACTGGGATAGAGTTAATTTTCTTCCCAGTAGCTGGTACAGTGCTGTGTTTTGGATTTAGTATGAGAATAATGTTGATAACACACTGATGTTTTAGTTTTTGCTATGCAGCGTTTACACTAAGTCAAGGACAGCTCACCATCCCATGCTCTGCCCAGGTGCACAAGAAGCTGGGAGGGGGCACAGCCAGGACAGCTGAGCCAGACTGGCCAAAGGGCTATTCCATACCATATGACATCATCCTCAGTGTATAAGCTGGGGTGAATTGGCTGGGGGGCAGGGACCGCTGCTTGAGGACCAGCTTGGCATCTGTGGGTGGGTGGTGAGCGGTTGCATCACTTGTTTTTCCTGGGTTTTGTTCCTCTCTTTGTTGTTTTGCTTTTCACTACAATTTGTTATTATTTTATTTCAATTATTAAACTGCTCTTATGTCAACCCACGAGTTTTCTCACTTTTGCCCGTGTGGTGCTTAGTTGCTGGTGGGGGTTAAACCACAACAATGACTTACCCAAGATCACAGCAAGCCAGGACAGGAATTTATGAGTTGTAGACTATCTGTCCCCTGCTTTTCAGGGAATATGTGTTCACTACAGATCACATAAGTGGCTTAAATAATTTAACCCAAATGTTTTGCTTCTTTACACCACAAGTGAAGTACTGCTGTTTCTTTTGTTGTGTTCACAGATGCATTCCCATGTGTTGCATCAGACAGTCACTGACACCTAAGGAACAGATGCAAATCAAGCCACGATGATGCATTTTAGTAAAGGTGACCACACTGAAGCCTTTGGAGATAACAACAAAATTCTAGTAAGAACTATCCTTTTTAAAAGCTTTAACACGAGATTCATTTCTCACTCCAACACTGTTAAACACTGCATTGTGAATAGATTTTTCCTTTACTAAAAATGTAGCCAGAATGAGTAAGGAAAGGCAGAAGTTCCTTTTAGGCAGATACTGACACAACAACATGAGGATCATGCAGAATAATGATTGCAATAATTCACGTATATTTTGTGCACCCCGCAGGATACACCAAGTGGGGGCTTGGAGGAAGTGAAGCCTTCTGATAGAGAACTGCTTTAATCGTAACTTTTCTGGACTGATATTTTATAGATTCTTGCCTATAATTTGCTCATATCAGTCACCCTTTGACCAATTCTTCCCTCTCTTCATCACCATCTTCATTAAAAGAAGTCTCACAACAAAGGGGTGGCATTCATTTTCAGAGGAAGGCCGATTGTGGTACCAAATCCCTCCTGCATTAAGCAGCCAGCTTTAACTATTCAGCTGTGATTTATATAAAGGCTCTTTGACTCTGCTCCTCAGTAGCTCACCTTCCCAGCTGGTAGGCTCCAGTACTTGGACTCTATACAAAAAGAGGCAGGAAGAGAATGGGTCCATTATGCCCTACCTTCAGGCACACCTCAGCAATTAATACCAACAAATTGCTAGGCAAGTTCAAACACAAGCTAGCAAAAATTACTAAATTCAGCATGGATTAAACGGTACCTCCTACGCTAGGACTACGGAGTTCCCATTTGCTTAACACCTTATGCTGACAAGTATTTCATGAGACAGACACAACCCTGAAGTGAAAGCACAAAGGGCACTAAGAGAGAACTAAGACTGAGCTTTCAGCACTGCATACAATCACACTAAGTTCCCTGCCCCACTTATTGAATGCCCAGATTCCCACCACCCCTACTGGCTGGATATGATAGCAAGACACAGCTTATAATCCCTTAAATGAAGTGAACCCTAACTAAGTTTTGGAGTGACGATTTCTGTATATAATGCCTACTCCCTGACCATTGGACAGCTTCTTCATCAATTGAGATCAAACTGATACACAAGACAGGAGGGCAGGGAAGGGGAAAAACCTCTGTCATGCCCAACAAGGTTTTCCAAATCCAATGCTTACTGGAGTACTTAAATCAGCACCGGCCTTTAAACATTCCTAAAAGACCAGCAGAGAGAGTAGTAAACACCCACTCACTCACAATCAAATTTCTTATCACTTCAAACAAAAACAGACTAATAAAGATAAGGTTCGGGGGGGGGGGGGGGTGTTTTACACAGTTAAGAGGCCACATATGCCCTCCTAACTCTTCCTCTTAGCACTTGAAGACAGCAGTAAGCCTTGAACACACAATTTTGAGTTTCTGAAATACAGCAGTGAGCTTCCTACATCCTCTGGTGCAAGTAGAGCAACTTGCAGTTTCACATTTAC